GGGGGGGGGGGTGAGGAAGATGGGAGGAGAAAAAGAGGAAGGGAGGACGAGAAGAAGGAAGGAGTAGCGTAAAGAAAAGAGAGATGGAAGAGAGGAATGAAAATGAGGGAGGAGGAGACGAAAGTAAGGAAGGAAGACTGACGGAAAGGGAAGGGAGAAAAGACAGGAAAAGCGAATAGGGGAGGATGGAAGAAGGGGAGAGTGGAAGGGAAGAACAGCGAAATATGGTGGAATAAAAAAGGAAGTGACAAATAATGTGAATAGAGGAAAAGGAGGAGAAAAGAATAAGAGTAATTACGAAACGGAGGAAAAAAATAAAGAAAAAGCGATGGGAAGCAGACGAATGAATGAAAGAGAGAAAAGAGAAATAGAAGAGGACTCTCAGGAAGAATAGAAGAAGAAAAGAAGAAGATAAACTAGAGACACGAAAATGAAAAGGAATTAAGGTGAAATTAATGAAAGAATGGAGAAGAGAACGACGAATAGACAGACAAATAGATAGATAGATAGATAGATACACATATGGAGATAAAAGAGAGATAGAGAGATAGATAGATAGATAGATAGATAGATAGATAAATAGATGATAAATAGATACACAGGTAGAGATAGATGATAAATAGATATACAGGTAGAGAAAGATGGATAGAGATAAACGGACAGATAATCAGATAGATAGATAAACAGATGTATATATAAATACACAAATATAAAAAGATAAATAAATAGATAATTACACATAATTTGATAAAGAGAGAGGAGAGAAAGAGGGCGAGAGAGAAGGAAAAAGATAGAGGAGAAAACCACAAGTAAGAGAGAGGAGAGAGAGAGAGAGAGAATGGAGGGGGAACGAAAGATAGCAATAAATGTAACAAGTAATACGAAGAAAGTGATGAGGAAAGGGAGGGAGAGAGGAGAAAGGAGAAGATAAGAGGCAAAGAAAAGGCTTAATTAATGTGCAGGTAAACGGAATGGGGAGAAGCAAGGGGGATGGAGTGGAGAGGGGGAGACGAAGACGTTTTATTTTGGTAAGCAGAAACTTTTTTTTCCGACCTGAAGACATTCTAAATAAACAAATAAAAAAATAAAATAAAAAATAAAAACTGTGCAGATTGAACGCACTGTACGTAGCTATCTTTTTCCCTCCAGGACGAGATCAGATAAAACTAATGTGCGTGCATGAAATTCGTGCATGGGGAGGAGAGAGGAAGGAGACGGAATGAAGGGGGGCGGGGAGGAAGAAAGACGAAAGGAAAAGAGAGGATGAAAGGAAGTGGAAGAGGAAGGGGAAGAAGCGAGGGGAGGGGGAAGGGAGGAGGGGGTGAAGGGAAAAGGGAGGGAGGGAAGGGGAGAGGGAGGGGCGAGGGGGGCGGCCGGTGTGACACGGGCGTGATCGATCGCGACTGAAATCATCGCCGCATCGCGTGGCTTCGACTCTTTCCGGTCATGCAAGCGGCTTGCCATTGGCTGATTTTCAAAACCGTGGGCGAATTGCGACTGGCTGTCCCGTGAACGATGCACGACGCCGGATTCTAATTGGTGGAGACGAGCGCGTTGGCCCCTCCCTCCTGGATAAGCAGGGGTATATATATCGCGAGCAGAGGTTGGAATGTCAGCAATCTCACTCGTGTTCCATCGTCACACCCTGTGAGGCTCCTGTCGTCAATATGGTGAGTTTTTACTTATTTTCGAATGTTTAATTAATCACACGAAATTTTACCTGTAGATTTTAGTGCAATTTTCTTTTTACATAAGGGAGGTAAATGTAGATAACACATAGCAAAAAGTAAATAAAGAAATACCAAATGAAAGCCAATCTAAAACGAATTCTTAAAAATTATCAGAACGAAGTAATTCGTTTTGCAAGTTCAGTGAAGTGACCGGCAAATCTATAATTAATTTCTTTCATCAACGAAAATAGCACGTGACTCTGAGCTTATTGATCTGTCTGACCGCACGTTACCTCGGTTTGTGGCTCCTTCGAGACAGTTTTAGATGTTTATGTAATTTGATGATTCATGAATTCATTACTTATCATTATTCATTTTCTGATCTTCACTATCCATTTTCTCAATTCAAGAACATGAACGAAATCAAATATTTTTTTTTTGTTCTTATTACGCAACCTTTTTCTCGAGAACTTTCACTCAGAAAATTTACCGGAGTAGTGAATCTGTTTTAAGAAGTTGACGATTAAATGATATTCGTAGCAAGTTTCGCGGGTAAGGTATACTAACGAAATCCAGTATGTCCTCTTTTCCTTTCTCTTGTTTCTACTAATTCAATAGTTTCTCTCCCTTCTTTCCGACCTCTCTCTCTCTCTCTCTCTCTCTCTCTCTCTCTCTCTCTCTCTCTCTCTCTCTCTCTCTCTCTTTCTCTCTCTCCTCTCTCCTCTCTCTCCGTCTATCTCCCTCTCTCTCCATCTCTCTCTCTCTCTCACCATGTGTTCTTCCTTTACCTCTCTCTTTTTTTCTTATTTTTCACCTTTTCTTCCTTCATTTTATCTCTTTCTTCTTTTTATTTCTTTCTCTTTTACTTCCCTTTCTTCGCTTATTTCCCTCTTTCTTCTTTCTTTTTTTTGCATTTCTTTCATAATTTATTCTCTTTTTTTCCCTCTCTCTCTCACTTTCTTTCTTTCACTGCCTGAGACCAAATACCTCATGATCGATCCATGCGGGCAAACTGTCCTCACGCTCACGGGTTCAGGGTCATGCAAACTTAGCCTCGTCATGCGATCTCGTGTCATGCAGTACCTCCCAGCTTGCCCTAGGACTATCCCGAGCCCATAGCATTATTGATTCATTCCACAGACGAAAATAACAGAGTAAGAACAGACTAATAACAGTCACGACAATATAAAGGCGCCGAGGTAATGAGGGAGGGGGGGAGAGGAGAGGATTGGGGGAGCAGTGCATGACCAAAACGCATGAAGCTCTTTTCTATTGATTTTGGGGACGGAGGCAGCGCGGCGTCCTTGGAGGAACCCCGCGGCGTGAGAAAAGGATTCGTTAAGGCGTCTTGGTTCCGCGTCTAATGTGTTCTTCCATTTCTTGTGATTATTCTGTTTTTTTTTCTAACTATTTGTTTATTTACCCATTTATCCATTTATTTATTCATTTGTATTTTTGGGGGGATGTTTACTAGGGATTTCTTTTTATGAGTGTAAGAACAGTGTTTGTACAAAAGTGTAGGTGTTCTTATTAGGTGTGAGTTGTGTGTAGATTTGTGTGCGATCGTGTTTTCTGATTGCAGAGTGTGCTTGCATACCTTTCATGCCTTATTTTATATGCCTGTGTACTTGTATATGCCTATGTAAGTCTCGGCTTCTGTACACAAAGTAAACACAATTAGATGTTTGGCTCTTGTAAATGAACTGTCTTATATTGTGACTCCCGCACTCCCCAGTACATAGATCCTCCTCACCTATCTACCTCCTTAGATACGTTTCACTTTGGAATTCCCCCCCCCCCTTTTTACCCTTCCCCTTGAGCTGGTCGGCTCCTTTTCCATCCTCTTCTCGATGCTCCTTTCCCTCTCTTTCGCTTCTTCTTGGTACCCTCTCTCCCCCTTTTTCGCTCCTACTTGGTACACCTTTGACTCCCCTTCGCCTCTCTTCTCCCTCTCTTCTTACCTCCTTCTACCTTCCTCCTCCATCTCCTCATTTGTTTTCTTCTCTCTTTCTCCCCTCGTCTTTGTTATCATCCGAGTCCACACGCCCTGCCAAAAACATATGAAATGCTAACGAGATCAATATGGCAGAATTATTCTGGATCTAATTGAAAGAAGGGAAGAGGTAAGGAATGAGAGAGAGAGAGAGAGAGAGAGAGAGAGAGAGAGAGAGAGAGAGAGAGAGAGAGAGAGAGAGAGAGAGAGAGAAAGATAGATAGATAGTTAAGAAAGTTTAACGGTACGAATTGAAGGAAGGGGGGAGGTTAAGAGAAATCAGTGCCATTGCAGTCATTGAAGCAAATTGGGAAGATGTGACTAGAAGACAAGTAAGGGGAAGAGAGAAAGGGCGAAAGAGATGGGGACCAACAGTAAGACAGAGAAGAGAGACAGTAAGGCAAAGAGGTAAGGGGAACGAGAGAGAGAGAGAAAGAGAGAGAGAGAGAGAGAAATTAAAAGAGAGATAGATAGATAGATAGAGAGAGAGAGAGACAGAGAGAGAGATTGAAAGAGAGATAGATAGATTAGATAGATAGAGAGATAGAGAGATATATATAGAGAGAGATAGAGAGAGAGAGAGAGAGAAAAGCTGCAAAAGGTCATACCCTTTATACCGCTAGTCCTTGGCATAGTTAATATTCGGGACTTATTACGGACGTGGAACAGCGCTGATGATGGCGACATTAATGATAATGATAACAATGATAGTTACTCAGAGGAGAATGACAAAGTGATAATGATAATGATGATAGTAACTGGTAGAGCAGGAGTAACTATAATGATACTATTAATATAAGAATACTATCACAGTTATTACTATTGGTGCCACTACTACTACTACTACTACTACTTAATGATACAAAACAATAATACTAATCATAAAAATGCTAATATTCATCTTAATTATAACAATAATGATAATGCTAATAATAATAATAATAATAATAATGTTGATAATGATACCAATAATAATGAATAATAATAATAATAATAATAATAATAATAATAATAATAATAATAATAATAATAATAATAATAATAATAATAATAATAATAATAATAATAATAATAATAATAATAATAATAATAATAATAATAATAATAATAATAATAATAATAATAATAATAATAATAATAATAATAATAATAATAATAATAATAATAATAATAATAATAATAATAATAATAATAATAATAATAATAATAATAATAATAATAATAATAATAATAATAATAATAATAATAATAATAATAATAATAATAATAATAATAATAATAATAATAATAATAATAATAATAATAATAATAATAATAATAATAATAATAATAATAATAATAATAATAATAATAATAATAATAATAATAATAATAATAATAATAATAATAATAATAATAATAATAATAATAATAATAATAATAATAATAATAATAATAATAATAATAATAATAATAATAATAATAATAATAATAATAATAATAATAATAATAATAATAATAATAATAATAATAATAATAATAATAATAATAATAATAATAATAATAATAATAATAATAATAATAATAATAATAATAATAATAATAATAATAATAATAATAATAATAATAATAATAATAATAATAATAATAATAATAATAATAATAATAATAATAATAATAATAATAATAATAATAATAATAATAATAATAATAATAATAATAATAATAATAATAATAATAATAATAATAATAATAATAATAATAATAATAATAATAATAATAATAATAATAATAATAATAATAATAATAATAATAATAATAATAATAATAATAATAATAATAATAATAATAATAATAATAATAATAATAATAATAATAATAATAATAATAATAATAATAATAATAATAATAATAATAATAATAATAATAATAATAATAATAATAATAATAATAATAATAATAATAATAATAATAATAATAATAATAATAATAATAATAATAATAATAATAATAATAATAATAATAATAATAATAATAATAATAATAATAATAATAATAATAATAATAATAATAATAATAATAATAATAATAATAATAATAATAATAATAATAATAATAATAATAATAATAATAATAATAATAATAATAATAATAATAATAATAATAATAATAATAATAATAATAATAATAATAATAATAATAATAATAATAATAATAATAATAATAATAATAATAATAATAATAATAATAATAATAATAATAATAATAATAATAATAATAATAATAATAATAATAATAATAATAATAATAATAATAATAATAATAATAATAATAATAATAATAATAATAATAATAATAATAATAATAATAATAATAATAATAATAATAATAATAATAATAATAATAATAATAATAATAATAATAATAATAATAATAATAATAATAATAATAATAATAATAATAATAATAATAATAATAATAATAATAATAATAATAATAATAATAATAATAATAATAATAATAATAATAATAATAATAATAATAATAATAATAATAATAATAATAATAATAATAATAATAATAATAATAATAATAATAATAATAATAATAATAATAATAATAATAATAATAATGGAGGGGGGAGGGGGGGGGGGGGGGGGGGGGGGGGGGGGGGGGGGGGGGGGGGAGCCGGCGTGACTGGTTGCATGACGTCACTGACACTTGACACCCGACACGAGCACCAGATTCTTGCCTTATTGCCTTATGTCAGTGAACGAATCCAGCAAAACTAAAAGAACATATAAAAGATTAGATTAGTGACGTCACAGATCTTGCAGTTAGCTTTACTATTGATAACTGAAACCTGCAAAGTCTGTAGGGAATTAACTGATCCAGTGAGAATATCACCTGATTAAATCTACATACATGATTTTATGAAGTCACGATTAATCAAATTCCACAAAAAAATAGATATTTACTTACATAGAGAAATTATTGGTGCAATCTTCAAAATTCCATGAACACATTATACTTCATCGTTATTGCACATGAACAAATCAATAGCTCTTGGAATGTACATCGGCTGAACATAGATATTATGTTCAATTTATTATGTTCTATATCCGGGTAGATTCACTGGTGTGTTCTAATGCGATTAAACTAATAACATTTTATTGCTTTCTTATATAATTTCCCTTTTTAAGTCATAAAATATGTTAATGGCTATTATTAAGATGAAATTAATGGATTAGGAAGCTATATATAACTTGATTGATATTTGCTATAATTTTTTTCTATCATAACAGATAAAAAAAAAACTAAATCCGGTATAATATGAGGCAGATTATCCAAAACGAATTTGGATAATCCGGATTGACTGTAATTTTGGTTTTTATCTTATTTTTTTTTACTTTAATATCATTTTGTTTTTCATCTGCTTATCGCTTTCCTTCTTATGTAAGTACAAATACACATAGACATACACACGCATACATTCATACATACATACATAGATACATACATAGATACATACACACACACACACACACACACACACACACACACACACACACACACACACGTCTATATATCTGTCTGTTTCTGTGTCTATATACTACCTTCACGTCTAGCAATAACCTATTCTGACATATCGGACATTTCTTCCCTGTGTGGATACCAGTCCTAAGCCGTTAATAACGAATAGCGGATGAAACACGAGAGAGAGAGAGAGAGAGAGAGAGAGGAGAGAGAGAGAGAGAGAGAGAGAGAGAGTAGAGGAGAGAGAGAGACACACACACACACACACATCTATATATCTGTCTGTTTCTGTTGTCTATATACTACCTTCACGTCTAGTAATAACCTATTCTGACCTATCGGACATTTCTTCCCTGTGTGGATACCAGTCCTAGGCCGTTAATAACGAATAGCGGATGAAACACGAGAGAGAGAGAGAGAGAGAGAGAGAGAGAGAGAGAGAGAGAGAGAGAGAGAGAGAGAGAGAGAGAGAGAGAGAGAGAGAGAGAGAGAGAGAGAGAGAGAGAGAGGAGGGGTTAGAAAGAAAGAGAGAGAAAAAATAAAGAAAGAGAGAGAAAGAAAGGAAGAGAAAACGAGTTTACGATAGCGAAGGAAGCGAGGGGGAGAAATGATATAATGACCCTCAGGTGTCATAAAAAAGAACAGTAATTAAGCTAGTAATACCCAGGTTCATAGCGCTATAATGGGCAACCCCGTCACACAGGATGGTTTGGTAGGGGGGAGGGGGGAGGGGGGGCAGGGGAAGGAGGGGAGAATAGGGAGGTCCAGACAAGGTGACAGATGTATACTTCCGTGGATGTGTGTGTGTGCGTATGTGTGTGTGTGAACGTATGTGTGTTTATGGAGACAGACGGGGAGGGAGGGATGTGTCTGTTTATTTCTCTCTGTGTGTTCGTATCTGCCAGTCAAATAATACCTTGCTGATAATAGCCACTGCAAAATAAAATAATTACCATCAGACACACACACACACACACACACACACACACATACACACACACACACACACACACTAGAAAACGGGCCTCATTGACAACACAGCCCGCCCACCAACGAGAGATTCTTTGACTGTGCAATTGCAGGAAAGTGTGAGCCGATATATAGTGTTACGTTACAACCTGTCTTGAGGTATGCACACACTCCTTGTTACAGCACTAGTCCTACAGCAAGAAAAACTTACATGTCCGTTTAAAAAGGCAGACTATGGGGAAAGGGAGGAAAAAAATGGCGGGAAAATGGACATGGAGAAATTAAACTGATTCTTTATTATGATTAGTCTTATTGTTATTAGTGTTATTATTCGCTTTGATTTTTTTTCCTCTTTTTTCCCTTTTTCCTTTTCTTGTTCGATTTTTTTTCTTTTTTAATTTCTCTTTTTGTAAGCATTCAGTCTCTTTAATTAGGTCTTTGTCTTCATAATTATATACATATTTTTTTTTCTATTTCTTCTTCTAATCACTCTATCTTCTCCCTTTCCCCTCCTCCCTTTTTTCACTGTCCATCTTATACGCCCGCCCTCGGCTGCTTCCGCCCCCGCCCACCTTCACCCCCGCGCCCACTCGAATGCTATTGATCAGTCGCGTTCGAGTTTTATTTACCGTGAATAAGTCTTCGATAAACTTAATAATCAACGAACTTCCATAACCTCAACCCTGCTGGAAATCAATAGCGAAGCCCCGCGAGTCGTGAACAGAGACTGTTAATTGAGCTGGTATGACTCATCGCCGGGAGCGCCAAAGGCTCGCCTTTTGAAAATCACCCGGCGGGATAGAACAAGAGGAAAAAAAGGAAAGGAAATAAAACAAAAAAAGCATCGGCGGTACAGCTGCGCATGCGCCATGACTCATCTTCTCTTCCCTTGCCCCCCTGCTTCCTTCCTTTCTCTGCCTTTTTCCTCTCTCTCTCACGTAACTTTCTTTCTCTCTTCCCGTGACAACGTGCGTGAGGCTGATGTCCGGCTCGCGTGCTTAGACAGGAATTCAATTATATGGCTGCACGTAATGGCCTTTCGAGAACAGACACTGCGTTCGCAGATTGACATGCCTGCTGGCGTGTGCACGCGAGCGAACACGCGGGTTTCTCCCGCATTTTAGACGCATTCGCGTGACTTTGTTTATATCGGTGGTTGCCATGGTGACTGGGATGACGTAGGCCCGCAGCCTTGCCGTTGGAAGAGTTACGATATATCATTATCATTTTATTAACTACTTACAAACAATAGCAATCTGACATTGAATACGGAGAGAAGCTACAGCTACAATGTTGCTAAGCTCTGCATTTAGATCAATGATTTGTTGTATCTTATTGAAGTGTAACAGAAAAAATCAATGAACACGTGGAGCATGCGGTCACAAAACATGCAAGCCTGTCGCCATGCAATCCCCTCACCCCTCTCTTTAATCCTCCCTTCGTCTGGGTTGTCTCCATCACTCTGACACACCCTAGGGTTACGTGACACGCGCCCTTACTGGTTTGTTTCTCGCTCTTTTTGTTTCTTTTTTTCGTTTTGCTCTCCTCCGTTTTAAATTGTTGTTGTTCTTCATCTCCTCTCCCCTTTTATTGCTAGTTCTTCCTGCTCCTCCTCCTTCCCTTTCTTTCTACCTTTTTGTAAGTAGACGAGGATATTTTATTATTAGTTACTGTAAGAGGAATTCGACAAACCGAATAGGCCTATTCAAATGTATTATTTACCTGTAAATTGATTTGGGGAAAATTATTTTAGATAGAATAATGATGACTACTTAACATATTATTAGTATTGTTGCCATTGACGTTGCAACCACTTGTAAAATTTTCATTTCATTTTTATTAGGCACAAACATGAATCAATTATCATAAATCAATTAATCAGTTATTATTGCAATGATGCATAAGTTATTGCATACATGGATTATGCCGAAAAAGCCGAAGCCATATCAAGGAGAAGTCTGATACCATTTGAGTTTTATTTTATTCATTATCTACTTATTCATTTATTCTCTTGTAAGCATTATCATTATTCTGAGCGTATGATAGCCATCACCTAAGAAAGAAACAGTGCATGCAATCGATAGACTGACAAATGCTAAGGCGTTTATCAAGCACATTTTCGCTGCAAATTCCAAAATAAAGATATATTTGATATCATGAATAACGTTCCCTGTAATGTCAAACGTTTTGATTGGTTAGGTGAAATGCAAGAGTACATGTAGCTGGTATTTTCTTTAGCAAATATTTTTTTTATTGGTTACTTATGAGAAATGGAATAAATGAAAGTGTCTTTCATACATTCCCTCTCCTTCCTTCATCTCGCTCTCACTCACTCACTCTTCTCTTCTTGTTATTATGCCTGTCTGTCTCTCGCTATCTCCCACTCTCTCGCCTTCACCCATGCTCCACCTCCCTTCTCTCTCTCTCTTATCATTACCTCTTTTTCCACCTTTCAGTGTATTGCTCACGTCGTCACCTCTCGTTATAGTTATGTTATTACCATAATTCTCTCATCGTTTTGATTATACCATCGCTATTATCTTTATCATTATCACCTCGCAATCATCATCATTATCATACTATCACGAGCTCACTCTCCCCTCTCTCCCCTCGCAGCGTGAGTGTATCAGCGTCCACATCGGTCAGGCCGGCGTGCAGATCGGCAATGCTTGCTGGGAACTGTACTGCCTCGAGCATGGCATCCAGCCCGACGGCACGATGCCCTCCGACAAGACCATCGGCGGCGGCGACGACTCCTTCAACACCTTCTTCAGCGAGACCGGCGCCGGCAAGCACGTCCCCAGGGCTGTGTTCGTTGATCTGGAACCCACTGTCGTCGGTGAGTTGGCGAGGGGCTTGGGCGGGGAAGGGATTGAGACTTCAGTGTGAGTAATAATGATAATGATGATACTAGTAATAATAATAATAGCAGTAATGCTATTGATAATAATAATAGTAACAAGAGTATTAACAATGATAGTAACAGAAGAGTAATAATGATATTAATAATAATGATAATAATAATACTGATATATATATATGTATATGTATATATATATATATATATATATATATATATATATATATATATATGTGTGTGTGTGTGTGTGTGTGTGTGTGTGTGTGTGTGTGTGTGTGTGTGTATGTCTTTGTGTGTGTGTGTGTATGTGTCTTTGTGTGTGTGTCCCTAACAACAAAGGTGCCAAGCAACGACAACCGCGTCGCTAACCCCGCCCCCGCCCTCCCCCACGCAGACGAAGTCCGCACCGGCACCTACCGCCAGCTGTTCCACCCCGAGCAGCTGATCACCGGCAAGGAGGACGCCGCCAACAACTACGCCCGCGGACACTACACCATCGGCAAAGAGATCGTCGACCTCGTCCTCGACCGCATCCGCAAGTTGGCCGACCAGTGCACGGGGCTTCAGGGCTTCCTCATCTTCCACTCGTTCGGCGGAGGAACCGGATCGGGCTTCACGTCGCTGCTCATGGAGAGGCTGTCGGTGGACTACGGCAAGAAGAGCAAGCTGGAGTTCTCCATCTACCCGGCGCCGCAGGTGAGGAAGGGCGCGGGTGGGGAGAGGGGGGAGGGTGCGTAGGGGAAGGGAGCGGGGAGGGGGAGAGATGGAGAAGGGAATGCTTAATGATAAAATGAAAGAAGGAAAAAAATGATAATGTATAGTAACCATCACCATAGTCGTATATTCCACCTACGTATATATATCACATTCACAACTCTTGACACACATTCGCCTCTTAACTCCTTACCCCCCCCCCCACAACCCCCACCAACACCCAACTAAGACCCCCTCCCTCACCCAGCCCTGATCTCACGGCCCCTCTTCTTCCCGTTCCCTAAAGGTCTCAACAGCAGTCGTCGAGCCCTACAACTCCATCCTGACGACCCACACGACCCTGGAACACTCCGACTGCGCCTTCATGGTCGACAACGAGGCCATCTACGACATCTGCCGGAGGAACTTGGACATCGAGCGCCCCACCTACACCAACCTCAACCGCCTCATCGGCCAGATCGTGTCTTCGATCACGGCTTCCCTTCGGTGCGTTGGCTCGGGTTGGCTCTTTCCTTAAAAGTTGCTCTAAAGACATTTGGTTTTCTTGTAAGATTCGTTAAAAGTACTTATTTTCTTACGAGGGAAGAGGAAGAACTAGTCCCAGAGCTGAGAAGTTCAAGTTTTTTTTTTTTTATTTCTTATAATAGAAAAAGGAAAGCTTGTCCTATACCCATCAGGTTAAGGTTTACTCTTTCTCCTTTCAAGAGGAAACTATATTTTTTTCCTGAAGATAAAAAGAAAACCAGTATTAAACAGACAGATGAATGAAAAATGGATAATGAATGAAAAATGAACTGATGATATGATAAACGGCTAATGAAGTTAATGAATAGGTGCGGGGGTGGAGTTATGTACAAAGTAGAAGATACAGGAAATAAAAAGTAATGTGCATGAATTAGACCAATCGTTTTAGTCTTGCTCTGCCATTGCCATCATCGTTTAATAACCATCATCATTATTATCTATCTCCACCATCATCCCCGTCGCCATTATCCTTTTCATCATTTCTAACCACCACCTCTAACCCTCCCTTCCCCTCCACCCCCCAGGTTCGACGGCGCTCTCAATGTGGATCTGACGGAGTTCCAGACCAATCTCGTACCGTACCCGCGTATCCACTTCCCGCTCGCTACGTACGCACCCGTCATATCCGCAGAGAAGGCTTACCACGAGCAGCTGTCCGTTGCCGAGATCACGAACGCCTGTTTCGAACCCGCGAACCAGGTCAGTTATGAAGCTTTTGAACGATGTTTCTTTCTCTTTTTTCGTTAGTCCTTTGTCATTTTTATTGTTGTTAAATTATTAGCATTATCATGTATGCCTTATTTCTGCTGAAGATTGTGTAGTTACCATCTTTTTTAATGAATGTGATGATATTCGACACTCCCTTATAATTCTTCAATAGTCTTTCTACCACCCTTCTTTACCGTATAGTTCATCCCCAGCCTCCTGTCTTAAATACGAACGCTTATGATGATAATGATAAAAATGATGATAATGATAGATAACATTTCCCCTGCCTTTCAGATGGTAAAATGCGACCCACGTCACGGAAAGTACATGGCCTGTTGCATGTTGTATCGTGGCGATGTTGTGCCCAAGGATGTCAACGCAGCCATTGCTTCTATCAAGACCAAGAGGACGATTCAGTTTGTGGATTGGTGTCCTACGGGATTCAAGGTGGGTGTGTGGGCACTGGTGTAAGGATAGAAGGGGGGGGGGGGGGGATTCGCGTGTGTGGGTGAGGATATGGGCAGTGGATGGTAAGGGTGGGGGTTGTACGTGTGTTTTTTGTATGCCTGCGTGTTTTTAGTATGTAGGTAATGTGCTGAAGATTGAAAGTTTCGTAATGGTATGATACATAATGTTAGCTCTTGCGTCCGTATATTTTGAATATAATCAAAATTTAGAATTCTCAAGAAAAAAAAAGTTTGACAGGTGGGTGAATGAGCGTATATTTGCGTAAATCTACGTGAGCGTATGTGGGCTTGACTGACTTTGTGTCCATACGCTCGCTTATTTGCTCGTATCCACGGCCCTGTACAGGGCAGAGGTAATTCACCGTGCGCCACTTCTCTCTTTCTCTCTCCTTCTCTTTCTCTCACCCTCGCCCTGTCTCTCCCTCTTGCAGGTGGGCATCAACTACCAGCCTCCCACCGTGGTCCCCGGCGCCGACCTGGCCAAGGTGTCCCGCGCCGTGTGCATGCTGTCCAACACGACCGCCATCGCCGAGGCGTGGGCGCGTCTCGACCACAAGTTCGACCTGATGTACGCCAAGCGCGCCTTCGTGCATTGGTACGTCGGAGAGGGCATGGAGGAGGGAGAGTTCTCCGAGGCCAGGGAGGATTTGGCCGCCCTCGAGAAGGACTACGAGGAGGTCGGAGTGGATTCGACCGAGGCTGAGGACGAGGAAGGAGGCGAAGAGTACTAGAGCGGGACTCCTGACGGAGAGCTAGGGAGGGCGTTGAGGGCGAAGGAGGCCGAAGGACCTCTCTCACCCCTTCTGAAGGCGGGCAAGAGGGAAAACAACCGTCTCCTAAGCACCCTGCAAGACACGTCCGTCCTTTGTCCCTAAATCCTTCTCCTGTTTTGGGACGTTTCTCTACCCCTCCCCCCCCCCAGCCCCTAAACCCGTCCTCCTCATGCAACTGAATAGGAAACAAGAGCCCCCTCCCCCCCTCACCTTCCTTCTTCCTGCGATCGGGCCTGGCAAACACTCAAAGAATCACTGGTAACGAAGAGAAGACTCAGCTACATTACCATTACCATTAAAAAGTAACGCACAAAAACAGACAACTGCATAGATAAGTAGTGATGATCAAAGAATGTGAAACCCGTTTCCATATTTCACACATTATCTTCACCCTAAAGTTTACCCGACACTGCCAACACGTTATTCTCACCGCTGGCACTCTAACGTGCCGCGAAAATAATGCCGCTTTGGCCCTTTTCAACCCCCTTCATGTGGCACTTTCGAGAGAGAGAAAGGAAATGTCACTCTCCATCATAACAACTCTTAGAACTATAACACTATATCGTTTTCCATCATCGGCCATACTCATGTCTAGTCACAAAGGATAATAACGATAAAAGAAATAAAATAAAATAAAAACTTCTAGTCATGCTAGGCCTTCAGATCAACCTCCCCCCCCACACCTACCTAACACCCACCTTCTCCTCCCTCTCCATCCCTCTCTCACGAACAATCACAACAAAGAAAGAGAAATAAGAACAGGCAAGAACAATCATACATGGACCGATTGGCTGTTATGAATAAA